CTCCTTGATCCCCTACAGTCTAGTTTCCGCCCCCTACACTCCACCGAAACTGCCCTACTCAAACTCACCAACGATCTGCTTACCGCCAAAACTAATAGCCACTATTCCTACTCCTCGACCTCTCTGCGACTTTCGACACGGTTGACCACCCCCTCCTCCTCAAAAAACTACACTCTCTTGGCCTCAGAGACTCCGCTCTCTCCTGGCTCTCTTCCTATCTATCACAGCGCTCCTTCAGTGTTACCTATAACGCTGCCACCTCCTCTTCACTCCCCCTCTCTGTTGGGGTCCCTCAAGGTTCTGTCCTCGGGCCCCTTCTCTTCTCCATCTATACCCCCTCCCTTGGCCAACTGATACATTCCCACGGCTTCAACTACCATCTCTATGCCGACGACACGCAAATCTATATCTCTACCCCTCACCTCACCCCTTCAGTCTCCGCCCGTATCACAAGCCTACTGAGCGACATATCGGATTGGATGTCACTCCACTTCCTCAAACTAAATCTTTCCAAAACTGAGCTCCTAGTTTTCCCCTCAGCCCGCACCCCCCCCCCGCCCGACTTCTCCATCAAGACCAACAACACTACCATCAGTCCCACCCCTCAAGCCAGAGTACTAGGTGTCATCCTAGACTCCAATCTGTCTTTCCAGCCCCAGGTCCATTCGCTGACAAACTCATGTAGACTTCACCTCCACAACATCTCCAAAATACGACCGGTCCTAACCTCGGAAACCACCAAGCAACTCATTCACTCCCTTATCATATCACGCCTTGACTACTGTAACTCCCTCCTCATCGGCTTACCTCACCGCGGGCTATCCCCGCTTCAGTCTATCTTGAATGCTGCGGCCAGACTCATCCACCTTACCAACCCTCTGTATCTGCCACCCCCCTCTGCCAATCCCTCCACTGGCTTCCGATTGCCCAATGGATAAAATTCAAAACGCTAACACTGACGTATAAAGCTGTTCATAATACTGCCCCAAACTACATCGCCGATCTCGTCTCCAAATACCACCCAAAACGTACTCTCCGCTCCTCACAAGACCTCCTAATCTCTAGCTCCCTGGTCTCCTCCTCTCATGCTCCTCTCCAGGGATTCCCCCATCCTCTGGAACTCCCTACCCCAATCCATCAGACTATCACCTACTCTGCTCACCTTTAGGCGCACTCTGAAAACCCATCTCTTCAGGGAAGCCTACCCCGCCCTCAGCTAATTACTGAACTCCTCCACTCTTCCTACGACTCCATCCCCCACAGCTATTTCCTCCTGTACCACTATCCCCTCCCTCCTAGATTGTAAGCTCCAAGGAGCAGGGCCCTCGAACCCCTCGTGTATTGAATCGTATTGTTACTGTACTGTCTTGTGTACTGTCTCCCACCATAATGTAAAGAGCTAAGCAAACTGTCGACGCTGTGTAAATCCTGTATAATAATAAAAAAATAAAATATTTTCTATTGTGAATAAAATATGGATTTATGAGATTTGCAAATCATTGTATTCTGTTCTAAAGTAGATTTTACACAGTGTTCCAACTTTTTTGGAACTGGGGTTGTAACTCAGATTACCACAGCACAGTGTTGTGAAATGGCCCTAAAGGTTTACTGCTCAATATCAAGATGAGCATGAAAGTGGGTTATACAAACATTGAATTCTGAGACTACAATGTATCAAGTTCAAATGATGCAGACTGGAGAACTGTGATTCTCACCAGAGCCAATAATATACTGAGACAGCCAACTTCCACAGCTATATTTAACCACAGAGTCCAAAGCTTCCCTTCCCACCTGTTCTGATGCAATGCTATATGCACACATGCAAATTTGTGATCTAGCAGGTTCTGCTGAGAAAGGAATCACTTTTCCTACTAAGATCGCTAGGGGCCGATGTCTAACATATTACACACATACAATATATCCCTTCTAAATCTCATTATATAAAGGTGAAAGGCCATATAAAGATTTCTTTTAATTACAAGGTCTGAAGTGGAGGTACGTTTTGGAAAGCGTGAAGGTTTTAGAACTGAATACAAGGAAGTTACTACAGCAAACAGTTTGTACATGGAGGCGAAATACAAAAGACCTATGGGTCACAATGATTTGTTTTTGGAAATCAATGCTGTTTTGGTTTTCATTTTGATTTTCTGCTACTGATCTGCCGGTGTAATACATCTGATTATTTGAAATAGTTTAGGCACTAATTGGCTAACATTCATAACCTAATTTTAGTAATGTTTACAATGATTTAAAAGTATATGATATGAAACATGTTCCACTTTTAAATGTACAGCTTCTACCTAATACCAGGCCTCACAAAGGTCCCCACCTGAGAAATGGACAGAAATATTCTGCATTATATATGCTCTATTGAACATAAAGATTTTCAAGATTCTGAGGTCCAAATTACTTTTCTTGTAGCAGACAACCTGATGCCTATAACCACAGAATGAAGGTGGATGTGTTAATATTTTTCACAGTCATGCAATATATGGAGAATAGAATAGAGAACAATCATGCTTGTGGACCTTGTCAGACCAATGTCAGTCATAAGGCATTCAGTGGGTTGAAAATTTCAAATGACCATTGGTGCATCTAGGTTGCGAAAACATGACATAGAAAAAAAAAAACAATTTCAGAAGTATAGGGGAGTTCAACCATAATATACTGAGCAGCAGATGCATTTCAGGTGAAGAGAGACTTATTCATTGCTGAATGAGAAGTTTTGTTAAACTTAAAAATATAGTAATGGAGTTCCATTGAGGATCTAAAACGGATCTCAATCCCTGATTTCAAATGTAATTCAGATTTATACACAGAATTTGCTCCATATCCTCCTAATTTTATACTATATTTATTTGGCTACTGTGAACATCACCTAATGTAATATGTTCTACTCCTTATTTATAGTAGATCAAGTCTGAATTTTTGTCTGTTTCCTTTGTTAACGTGTTACTAAACCCACAACAGTAAAATCAGTCTGTAAATGCAGTAAAGCGTGCTTATATACTCAGTCACTTTAACCGTCCTTCCCCTAAACTCCCCTTAATTCAAATACCCCTGACTTGGTGGGGTATTTGAATTAAAGCAGGAAAGTGCTGGATATCTTATATGCTTATATACTCACTGTGTTAATCCCCTATATTGTATAAAAAGGCTGTCTGATCTAGTCTTTTCCTCTATAGAGAAGTCTGCTAATGTTCTGTTTGATGTGTTTTGCTAGAATATTTTTTCTTGTTCTTTTTTTTTTTTTTTTTTTTAGGAGGTTGCATGTGATAGGCACAGGGCCAATCAGCGATGTCTAGACAGAGGGTCAGGAATCATGCAACCTCATAGAACAGTCAGAGGAGAATGAAAACCCTCCTACAAGATTAACCAGTGCTCGGCCAGACACTGATAGAAGTCACAAGACTTCTGTTGTGTTTGCCGATGAGAAAAGGTACCGTATTTTTCGCTCCATAAGACGCACCTGACCATAAGACGCACCTAGGTTTTAGAGGCAGAAAACAGGGGAAAAAAATTCTGAACTAATGGACTGCAGACACAGTACAGGAGATGACCAGAGACTGCGGACATAGTACAGGGGATGACCAGAGACTGCGGACACAGTTCAGGGGATGACCAGAGACTGCGGCCACAGTACAGGAGATGACCAGAGACTGCGGACACAGTACAGGAGATGACCAGAGACTGCGGACACAGTTCAGGGGATGACCAGAGACTGCGGACACAGTTCAGGGGATGACCAGAGACTGCGGACACAGTTCAGGGGATGACCAGAGACTGCGGCCACAGTACAGGAGATGACCAGAGACTGCGGACACAGTACAGGAGATGACCAGAGACTGCGGACACAGTGCAGGAGATGACCAGAGACTGCGGACACAGTGCAGATGCAGGAGATGACCAGAGACTGCGGACACAGTGCAGGAGATGACCAGAGACTGCGGACACAGTGCAGGGGATGACCAGAGACTGCGGACACAGTGCAGGGGATGACCAGAGACTGCGGACACAGCACAGGGATGACCAGAGACTGCGGACACAGCACAGGGATGACCAGAGACTGCGGACACTGCACAGGGATGACCAGAGACTGCGGACACAGCGCAGGGGATGACCAGAGACTGCGGACACAGTGCAGGGGATGACCAGAGACTGCGGACACAGTACAGGGATGACCAGAGACTGCGGACAGCACAGGGATGACCAGAGACTGCGGACAGCACAGAGATGACCAGAGACTGTGGATAGTACAGGGGATGACTGCTGACCTTTGGGGAGGGGGGGGAGTGGGTACCTGAATTTGACAGATACCCGCTCCCACTTCCGCGGAGTTGTTCTTTCATCTTACCTGTTCCTCTATCCAGCCGCGCGCTGTCTTCCCGGCTTCTGTAATGGCGCTCGACATGACAGCCGGGTGCCCAGTGCGCATGAGCGAGAAGCACTTGCGCTTTGTGATTGGTCCGGCGGCTTCTGGGATCTGTCATGTGTCCCAGGTGCCGCCTTACCATTCACAAAAAGCACTGCTTCCTGCGCATGCGCACTTGGCACCCGGCTGTCATGCCCACACTACAGAAGCCGGGAAGACCGCGCCGCTGGATAGAGGAACGGGTAAGATGAAAGAACAACTCCATGGAAGTGGGAGCGGGTATCTGTCAAATTCAGGTACCCGCTCCCCCCCTCCCCAAAGGTCAGCAGTCATCTCTATAAGGTCCCTCTGTAGAGCTGAGCGGCCGGCCCGGTATTCTGACATGGCGGCAGTGGAAATACCGGACCGGCCGCTCCATATTCGCTCCATAAGATGCACTGACATTTTCCCCCCTTTTTTGGGGGGAAAAAAGTGCGTCTTATGGTGCGAAAAATACGGTATTTAACAGTTTATATTTACTATAATAAATTTCATTTCCATGTCCTGTGTACTGTTGAAGATCAGATATAGTGAATGCAGGCTCCTGGGTTTAGTAACACTTTAAGGTCAACATCCATATTATATATTCCCTACCATGAGCGTGAGCCATCTGCCAGTGTCCAATATTTGCTCTGTGTCCCTCCATCATGGACAGAGGAAATGATACAACATCCCCAGCAGCGAAGACATCAGGAACACTGGTGCGCATAAACTGAGGTAAAAAAGACACTTTAGATTAGAAGCACAATTACACAAATTGTAAAAAAATCAGAAAGAAAAAAATATAGACAACTCACTGGAAAGCTACCTAAAATCCTATGTAGGTATGACCAAAACCACATATAAAAAAAAGAGATGTTGGCAGGGTTTTCAGCACCTATTTTTCTGTATGTTTGGCCAATAAATGAATGCTGAGTATGGGTCTGTTATAGAAGCTTTTTTTTTTTCCTTGAGAACTGCTTTTCTCTCCATACATGTCAATTGCAATGCAAAAAAAGTCTGATGCAACCAAGAAAAGAGAACCTGCAGAACACTTCAGAAAATGATCCAGAACACATGCTGAAGTCATTTCTCTGTTAAGACCACTATAACCACTAACAAGTGGAATTTTGACTTACCTGTAAATTCCATATCTTAGGAGGACACAAAAAAAGTATTCATAGACCCTGGGTTACAAGCTAATACCTTCAAGGGATTAGACACTGGCAAAACCTTCAAGCAACGCACCATGGGTGCCTCCCCTATAATCCTACCCCATCCTGCAAATTCTCAGTTTTGTAGCAAGCAATGCAAAGTAACCAAGGAATGAAAGGAAGGGTGGTCTGTAGCCTGTACTCTTCCAAAGGTAGGGAAATTACAGAGAAATTCCTCTTCTCTTAATTATACAGTACTGGGAACAAGCAAAATATTCACAGACCCTGGGATGTTCCCAGGCAATGAATGAAAAGGGGGGGACAACAACTAGGAAAGCAGAACTGTGCCAACAGGCCCAACAAGGGTCAAAAGATAAAACTTCACAATGCTGCTGAAAGCTGCACGTACAGAAAACTGGACAGCCACCTGGTAGAATTTTGAAAAGGTATGAACAGAGGACCAGGTAGTGGCCTTAACCAGCCTGGAGCTGGGAGATTTATCCTTGGAAATGTAAACAATCATATTTTTTACCCATCGAGCAATGGTGGACTTGGAAGTAGGGTGTACCCTACAAAGTCCTAATGACAGGGAATTCCACTTCCTGACTGTAGTGGATGCTTTGAGGAAGACTCTTATGGCTCTCACTATGTCCAGGCAATTAAGAGAAATGTCTAATTGATGCTTTGGAGCAGGGTATAAGGATGGTAGGACTATGTCTTCATTTAGGTGGAAGAGTGATACCACCTTTGTAAGAAAAGATGGTTTTGGGCATAAGAAAAACTTGCCTTTGTAAAGGATGAGGAACAGTTCTTTAAAAGAGAATGACCCGTCAGACAGACTCAGAGGCTCGTCTGACAGCCATCATAGCGATCAAAAAGGCCACTTTGCAAGGAAGGTTATCTAAGGGGATATCCTGACGGGTTCAAAGGGTGGTTACTACAGGGCAGACAAAACCAAGCTGAGGAAGCACAAGGTGCTGCAAGGGGGGCTTGATTGTTATGAGATACAACTAGAAAAAAGGTTTTGGCAAGGGAGAGTGAAGCCAGAGGTTTTTAGATAAGGCTGAAACCTGTCCTTTCAGAGTGCTTAACGTCAAGTCTTGAAAGGCCAGAATGTGAGGCACAGAGTAATCTCTGGGATCAAACAGCCTGTGCTCACATTGGGGAAAGAAGGATTTCCAGGTGCAATAGTAAAGCTTTCTGGAAGTGGCTTTCCTTGCTTTTAGAAAAAAAGGATGACAGACTCAGAGGCCCCTCTGTCTCTTAAGATCAGGGCATCCACAGCCATGTCGATAAAGCCAGGAAATTGAAAAGCAGGATGGAACAGAGGGCCTTGAGACAGCAGGTCTGCCCTGCTAGCAAGAGGCTTGTAGTTGACTCCCAGAGTTAAATCTGTGTACAAGGTTTGTGTGGGCCAATTTGGTACAATGAGAATCATCCCCTTCTTCTTTTGCTTTATCTTGTTGAGCAGATGGTTAGAATTTGCACCCGGGGGAAGGCATAGATTAGTCTTAACTGAGACCAGGGAATTATCAAGGCATCAAACTAGAGCTAGAGATCCTGGCCACAAACGGAGGAAGTTGTTAAATCTGGAAACTAGGATGTCTGTCAATCTGACATTTCAGAGGTTGTGGGTCATTACCCTTAAGAACATGACTATGCCTACCCTTTCCACACTGCTGTGCCATTGATAGAAGCGGTCTATAAATAAAGGATCTCTTAAAAGAGGGATTGGAACTATCACCCCCCCCCCCCCCTTCCCATTCAGAGATCTTTTGATCCTAAACCAAGAAGAATCAGCGGTAGAGAAACAAAACATCATACTAAATGTAAGTTATGTTCCTTGTGCTGATTTTTATATTTGTAATTTAGGCTTAACTTAGGCTTCAATCCTTTTGCTGCCAAAGCAGTTTTGCATTTTTAGCAGTCGTTTATAAATATCATTTTAGGCCTGATAATTATGTAAAACCCCCAAACATTATATCTTTTCTAAAAGCAAACACCTGAGAGAATAAAATAGTGGTACTTCAAATTTTTATGTCACATAACAGTAGCCCAACAGTTTATGAAATGCAAACTTCATTAAACAAATACGCAAAAAGTTATTTTAGGGCAGGTGAACACAATATATTAGCCAGTTTTTTGTAAAATATAAAAGATGTGGTTGCGCTGAGTAAACAGATACCCAAAATGTCAAGGCTTAAAATTGTGTGCGCCCATGAAATGGTGACAAACTTCGGCACCCTGGTATTTTCCATAGGCAATGCTTTAAAAGTCCCTAAAGGTCATCAGTTTAGAGCTAAAAAGGGTATCTCCACCTTTGCTCCTTCTTTCTTTCTTAACTGTATTTGCTTTCAGTCATCCACTGACCATGGTTGTCAGTGCACAGATCCATACACTTGAAAACTCTATACATAGTTCTGGAAGCTGTGTAGAAGCATATTCTGTGCAATGGTTCCCAGTCATTGGTCAGTGCGGTCCTGTGACAGCAGATGACCGATTTTTTAAAAAAGTGATCACTGAAGGCCTGGAGCAACTGAATTTTTCTGTGGATGCTAGACAGCCAGATAGAAAATTAGTCCTTAAGAAGAAGGTCATCTAGATAACCTGTGCCCTGAATGCTTAGAAGGGCAAGAAGAGGTGCTAGCATAGGCTGACCAGGCACTGCGACAAACTAAGGAAGCCTGCTGATTGGGTGTAACGTGTATAGGATTGGAGTGCGGTCAGCCAGCGACCATCTTGATGTCGGTAATGGAGGTGGTGAGCCAGAGAGCTGCCTGTGTTTGATATGCGCTGTACATTGCACTGTGTGTAAGTGTCATTTTAAATATTAAATGTTTTTACAGTACAGAGAGCACTATCGGTCCCTATTCTTGTTTCATGAATGAAATAACGCTTCCTATGAGTGGAGGATCCGTTGAACAGTGGGAGCCATCTGTGGTGGAGTGAATCTGGAGCTATCCTGTTGCAGCCTGTGAAGGGGGCACGATTGTGACCCTTGACTAGCTATCTGGAGGTGAGCATATATTGTCTATGGGAGGTGTATACATGAATAGCACTGGTGATCAGTTATAGAAGATATTGTGGCATGGTGACATTGGGACACGTAGATAATTTGGTGGAAGATCTTGCTACTTTGGACTTTTATGTTTTGGACTTTCTTATCATTTTATAGTGAAGGTTTGTGGGTTGTGCGGCATCTTTTGCTGAATTTTTTACTGAGAGGTGGCGTGAAACCACTTTATGGTGCACGCAGCAACTTTATGTTTAATCACCGATTCATATGCAATCTTATGTTTATATGTTTGATGATTTTTGCGGTGTAAGGGGTAATCACGTATTGACTGCGCTGATTTATAATTAGGTTTGAAAAGGCAGTGCGACAAACTGGAAATACCTATCTGCTATTGCAAAGTGCAGACAGTGCTGATAAGGTGGTTAAAGTGGGGATATGCAGATAGGCATCTTGGAGTTCAAGGATGCCAGTTTTTGCACTCATCTCAGAGAGGCAATAATCAACCTTGCAGATTCCAGGCAAAATTTTGGAATATGAAGGTATTTGTTGATGAATTTTAAGTCTAGAAAAGTATGAACATCTCTGTTGGGTTTTGGTACCATAAACAGGTTTGAATAGAAACCGTTCAACCTGTCTTGACGAGGTACTGGCACAGCTACTCCCTGGGAAAAGAGATGGTTTTTGGTTCATTTGGGAAAACAAATTAGTGAGAGGGAAGAATATTGAATGCTATCTTGCACCCCTTTGAAACCACCGATTAAACCCACAGGTCTGAGACCCAGAGAGAAAAACTGTAACAGATGCCCCCCATTCTTAGAAGTGAGGTCATCCCTTCATTGGCAAGAGGGCTTTGGGGAACACTTGGTGGGCTTAGTAGCTCAAATCTTGCACTGAAAGGAAAAGGTTACAGTTGAAGCCTGAGTTCAGTGATTAGGTGCTCTGTATTTTGAGGAGGCAGAAACTCCTGAGAAGAGGCTTTTGGAATCTTCCACAGTAAGAGAAAAAAAACTTTCCTCCTGTGACACCTGAAATGGTCAAGTGCCTCCCCAAAAACACATCTGCCTTGAAAGGGAAAATGTGTGAGGCACTTTTTTTTATAGGCAGCTTCAGCTGTCCAGGCTTTGAGCCACAGGATTCTGTACATGTGAATGGAAATTAGGGCCATTCTGGAAATTCATCTCAAGTTCTAGGGCATCCACCCAAGGTAACTGCTGTAATTGATCTGTTAAAGCATGGTCCTGAAAACAAAATAATGTTGTTTGTTCATTGTCCTAGTCCAATTTGCTGCAGTTAGACATACTGAAATTGCAGCAAGAGCTAATTGTAGGTCTATGCTTGCAACAGTAAAATCTTTAAGAGTTTCTCAACTTCCTATCTGCAGTCTTTAAATAAAGAAACCTCTTCAAAAGATAGAGTAGGATCAACTACAAGAACAGACCACTTTTGGTGAACTCTTTTTCCACTGGATAGAGTTTGGTAAACATTTTGGAGGAGTGAAAATCTTTTATAGAGTGATCCAATCTTCATAGATTGTTCATTCTATTTATTCATGAACAGGGAATGTCTAAAGGTTTTGCAGGTCTCTTTGTACCCAAAAGGGGTTTGGAGAGATGGAGAAGAATCAGTTTCTACAATACCATAGTTCTTGTGTACAGCAGCAGTGAGCCTATCCATATTAGCAACCATTTTGTTGCGTGAAGCTCCCTTTTCAGGTTTAAAAGTCTGTGAGGGGAAAACACATCTTCTGCAGCCTTCTCTGATATCTATATCCTCATCATTCTTTTCTGTGTAACACTCATCTAGAGCAGGCATATTGGAATTCAACTACGGTAAAGACAAAGGAGCTGGTGAAGGGGCATGGGGATTTGTAGCCTTGGAAAAAGATGGCTGTATTAAGGCCATTAGTTGTCCTAAGAATTGTGGCAATAACACAGGAACATCTACTTTTGTCACGTAGGCTGCTTGTTGTGTGCCCGAGAACTAGAATTGGATGCAGACACCAGTGTAATATCAAATCTTGCTCCAGTGCAAGCATTGTCACTCTGAGGTTGAATGAAGAGTAGAGCTTTGGCAGAGCCCGTGTTTGCCTGAGCTTTTATCATGGCCTTTTTTCGCCTGGTCTCCCCCATAGATACAGGTAAGAGTAATCCGCTTTAGGGTACTCACAAAGTAGGGTGCAGAATATAGGGTAAGTGTGTCGAGAAGGAGTATGGAGCAACCCAGATGTAGACCACCTTGTAGCTAAATTCTCATGACAACAGAGTGAGGAAATGCTTGTGTATCTTATAACAACTCTAGGTGGTGCATGGCAGCAAAGTGTGTAACCTCTGGTGCGATGTCACAACTGGTCATCCACCTGAGACTAAGCCTTGAGTCATTGAATTTAAGGGCCAAGTTTGAAAAGTTTACACTGTAAAGTGAATACATTCCAAATACAGTTCTGGATTTTACATTAATGGTCAGAGGCAAAGGGTGAAAGAGGACTCACAGAGTGGGTCAGAGATATAGGGGAGACTCTTGGGGGGGTGTTCTCGGAAGCTTTGCCAGTGTTTAATCACCTGAGGGTACAAGCCTATAACCCAGAGTCTACAATGACTCTGACTGTGTCCTTTACTGTACGATTAAGATATAGTAATGTATATCGCTGTGATCTAGATGGCTTATTTACAATTAACCTAGACTCTGGCATCTTTTTAAACACAATGCAGTTACATAGGACATTCTGTTGTTTCGCCTTGGTCTGAGGTTTCCTCTGTTTCATAATACTCTGTAGCTGATACAGTTGCAAGAAAAAGTATGTGAACCCCTTGGGATTACGTGGAGCTTTGCATGAATTGGGCATAAAATGTGCTCTGAACGTCATCTAAGTCACAACAATAGAAGAACACAGTCTGCTGAACATAATACTACACAAACATTAGATGTTGCCATGGTTTAATTGCACATAACATGTAAACATTCACAGTGCAGGGAGGAAAAAGTATGTGAACCTTTGGACTTAATAACTGGTTGACCCTCCTTTGGCAGCAATAACCTCAACCAAACGTTTCCTGTAGTTGCAGATCAGACCTGCACAACGATCTGGAGTAATTTTGGACCACTCCTCTTCACAAAACGGTTTCAGTGTAGCAATATTCTTGGGATGTCTGGTTTGAATCGCTCTCTTAAGGTCATGCCACAGCATTTCAATCGGGTTGAGGTCAGGACTCTGACTGGGCCACTCCAGAAGGCGTATTCTGTGCTGTTGCAGCCATTGTTTTGTTGAATGACTTGTATGCTTTGGGTCATTGTCCTGTTGCATCACCCATCCTCTGCAGAGCTTCAGTTGGTGGACAGATGGTCATACGTTTTCCTGCAAAATGTCTTGATAAACTCTGGAATTCATTTTCCCATCAATGACAACAGCAAAGCAGCCCCAAACCATGATGCTCCCTCAGCCATGTTTTACAGTGGGGATGAGGTTTTGATGTTGGTGCGCTGTGCCTTTTTTTCTCCACACATAGTGTTGTGTGTTCTTCCCAAACAACTCAATCTTGGTTTCATCTGTCCACAGTATATTTTGCCAGTAGTGCTGTGGAACATCCAGGTGCTCTTTTGCAAACTTCAAACGTGCTTCAATATTCTTTTTGGACAGCAATGGCTTCCTCCGTGGTGTCCTCCCATGTACTCCATTCTTGTTTAATGTTTTCCTTATTGTAGATGTGTCAACAAAAATGTTAGCATGTGCCAGAGATTTCTGTAGGTCTTTAGCTGACACTCTGGGATTCTTCTTTACCTCATGCAGCATTCTGCGCTGTGCTCTTGCAGTCATTTTTACAGGACGACCACGCCTAGGGAGAGTAGCAACAGTGCTAAACTTTCTCCATTTGTAGACAGTCTGTCTTACCGTGGACACATGAACATCAAGGCTTTTGGAGATACTTTTGTAACCCTTTCCAGCTTCATGCAAGTCAACACTTCTTGATCGTAGGTCTTCTGAGAGCTCTTTTCTGCGAGGCATGGTTCATATCAGGCAGTGCTTCTTGAAACCAGTAAACCCAAAACAGGTGTGTGTTTTTTAAGGGCAGGACAGCTGTCAGCAACACATCCAATATCATCACACTGATTGGAGTCAAGGTTGGCTCACTCCTGGCTACAATTAGCTCTGGGAGAAGTCATTAAGCTAGGGCCTCACATACTTTTTCCTCCCTGCACTGTGAATGTTTTCATGTTATGTGCAATTAAACCATGGCAACATCTAATGTTTGTGTAGTATTATGTTCAGCAGACTGTGTTCTTCTATTGTTGTGACTTAGCTGACGTTCAGAGCACATTTTATGCCCAATTCATGCAAAACTCCACGTAATCCCAAGGGGTTCACATACTTTTTCTTGCAACTGTATATTAGTGAAGGTATGAGCTATGATGGGCAGCTCTTCCTTTTTCTAGATTTAGGCCCTCACACCTATGGTGTAGTTTATTGATCAGACACAGGAGTGGGTAGGATATGCTTCTGATTATTTAAAAATTCTGAAAATCTTCTGTGAGGCTTGAAGAATGGAGTGTGCCTAAGCATTGTCAAAAAGGAGAAAGTTCCCTGCTACTTCTAATCTGCAATTATATGCACCTAAGCTCGCCACAGACCACATCACAGGATCAATTCATTCAAACAGTGACACTAAACGATAGCCTTATTTTCCAAAAACAATCTATACACATCCACAAAGATATATGAAGATTCTAAAGATAGATTACTAACATAGTACAGCACTAACATCTGTTGAAGGATATAGTTAAATATATTACTGTGACAAATTACAGTGATAAAAATAGTGCAATATTAAAACAAAAGAATATTCATACATAGGTGCAGTAATAAAATGCCATATGTGTTCTCTCCTAAAAAAAATATAAAAATCTCAAAACAGCAAATACATACTAAAAATGTAAGAAAAAAATAAACAATGCATGAAATTAAAATGTATAAATGTGTAAAAAAAAAAAAATACATAATTTTTTTTTCAATGTATGTAAATAAAAGGTTTCACATAGTGTAGGATAATTATAACAAAATTTTAGTGCAGACAATAAAATATACTCACAAAAGTGCAACAGACTAAGGACATGAACATGCAGATATTTTAAATATTTCACTATTTTTATCACTGTAATGTGTCACATTATTGTATTTTAATTGGAACGAGAGCAACAGAAGGTAGTTTTTGAGTTAAGAACACAAACTTGAATATATATTTTTTAACCAAAGTTCAGTATCACTTTAAGCTATAAAAGTCATTATATACAATAATGAGCATTATTATAAGTAGTTAGAGCAAAATATGAAACTATGCATTTAGACAAAGTCATATACAAGACCTGTTGACAATAACCACAATCAGGTACCTGGTCTACATAGATTGCTCCTCTAGAGTCCACTGCAACTCTGCTTCCCTTCAGGAAATTTGACACAGGGACTACGCCTAAATTTGAAAAATAATAAAAATATATTAACAACGTGAAGAATGACAATTCTGAACTGAGTATGGTAAATAAACAGTAAATAATATTCCATGGAAAATATTTCCTTTTATCATATGTCTTGAGTTGGTTGCTATTAATTTTCACACTTTTACGGCCCATCCACACCTGATGCAGTGGGATGCATTTTTTACTGCATTCCAACTACATAGACCAGGGGTGCCCAACTAGTCGCCTGTGAGTCCTCTGATGCAATCCGTGACCTCAAACCAGGGAAGCACATGACCATGCTCTCGGATGGTGGGTCAGCAAACCCAGATTATGATCAACAGGTTGCCAACCCACCATCCCAGAGAGTCAGAGTGCATGGAGCCGACGCCAGCACCAGAGGAAGCAAGTGGTCGCAAATGGAGCAGGAGCTGCATAAGCTGATGCTTCCATTGTAGCACTGGCTCCTGTCTCAGGTGGGAGGGATACCAAGTGCACTTTGCCTGGCACCTTTCTAACAGCCTGGAGAGTGAAACAAGCAGAAGTTGGAAGAGGAAAAGGTCAGTGTATTAATCATTACATACACGGCACTTTTATTAGGGTTATTAGGCTGCTTTTGTACTGATCTGCAGGTGCAGCATAGTGCACCTGTGGCTTTCCTGCAGGTTAGCTGCACTGAGCTATAGACTTCTATTATATCCTGCAGGTTTGGTGCACTTTCTGAAAGCGCACCAAAACTCCTGAATGCAAGAATTTTGCTGCACTTTCAGAAAGTGCATCACACCCGCAAGATGTAACAAAAGTCTATGGCCCTGTGCAGCTAACCCGTACGTGCAATGCACTGCATCTGTGGTGCGGGTAAGCAGAAGTACATCAGTGTGAAAGCAGCCTTATAGGGGGCTCAGGACAGTAAAGGCTCATTTACATTTGTGGTTTGGGGGGACGATAAAGCCCCATATAATAATAATAATATAATAATATACAGCACCACAAGATTAAATGCAAAACAAAAAAGGGCAGCTCTCAGTCCAGTACTAATAAAGTCCTTATTAACAAAACAGAAGAGCTCCTCTTCGTATTCCAATCTTCTCAATTACCCATCAGAATTCTCTTTCACCCTGTTGTGGTATATACTGTGCAATTCTGCGATCTTCCAGTGTGTTAATACGAAACTCCAAAAGAAAAAACGAATATAGTGTAGTATGTTTATACTCAAACGCTATTCAAACCATTCTCCTAAATACTCTTACCCTCTGCGGGTGAAAACTGTGCATTTCACTTTAAACGTGACCAAATCCATAACACGTGAGATCGCTCCTTTTACAACCACCAATGTGCCAAACCACAGCAACGTATTTTTTCTTTTGGAGTTTCGTATTAGCACAGTGGAAGATCACGGAATTGCATAATAATATACCACAATGGAATGAAAGAGAATTCTGATGGGTAATTGAGAAGATTGGAATACGAAGAGGAGCGCTTCTGTTTGCATAATAAAGATAAAATCCCATAGTTCACTGTAGCCCACGACTGGTTACCAAATCACTTAAGTGGCCCTTGATCTTCAAACGGTTCAGCTCCCCTGGAATAGACAGTCCAAAATCCAGGTTATCTTATGGGAATAGTTCACACTATTGCAGTGCAAAAAAAAAAAAGGAATTACAGCATGCTGCATTTTTTTTTGCACTACAAATGCACAGACGCGCATCCAAATGCATGTAAATGCACAAACATGCACTGTGACACAGTGCAATGCACATAAAAGCTCAAAGAAGAAAGAAGACAGAGGTGACCTCAAAGGAAATACAAGCTTAAGAAAAATGCACTGCAAATGCATCCAGATGAATGTAAAACGTGTCAAAAGCATGTAATTGCACATGTAAAAAATGTGCAGTAAACATGCAGTTTCTGGTGTGAATGGGCCCTTAGTCACGGACTGATCTTATTATTTTCTTGGAAAGTGAACATTGCATACAACCAATCATTTGGCTTAGTTAAAGTGGTTGTAAAGACTGAAGGTTTTTCACCTTCATGCATTCTGTGCATGAAGGTAAAACACCTTCTGTGTGCAGCAGTACCCCCAGCCTCCTCAATACTTACCTGAGCCTCACTGAGATCCAGCGATGTACATGACAGCCTCGGCTGTCCCGGGTCACTGCCTCCTCATTGGCTGACAAAGCAAGCGGGAGCCATTGGCTCCCGCTGCTGTCAGACAGTCGGCCAATGAGGACAGGTGTGGGGTGGGGCCAAGCCACAGTTGTGTGTGTGAATGAACACACGGACCAGCGGGTGCCCCCATAGCAAGCTGCATGCTATGGGGGCACCAGACAGAAAGGAGGAGCCAGAAGAGCCTGCAGGGTCCCCAAGAAGAGGAAGAGAACAGGTCACAAGAAAGGAGATAACAGGTTCCATTCAAAGCAGATCACATGTGGTATTTAGACGATCTGACAAATTTTTCCCAAATATCGCATGTGGTGCTGAAAATGTCAATTCACTATTCCTTGTTGCAGTATTTACCTCAAAAACACCTGGCAAATACCACATAAAATGGTGTTAAATCAATTCACTAAAGGAAATAAATGTATGCGTTATATAAGTAGTGGTCCAGGCATGCGATACTGAAAAATGTAAAAATGTAGTAGCTGATTTGGAGTAGTCTCTAACTTTTTGGATCAGTGGTCTCTCAACAGTAAGGCATTGAAGCAAAATATGGATAAAAACACAGAAATTATACATTTAGTAAAATATATTTATTTTCTCCCTTCATTTTGACAGATTTTCAGCAACTTTTTTGTGTATATACAAGCATATACATCATTTGCTGCACAAACCTCCCAATCAGTCCAAACATAATACAATGTACCTGCACATCACAATGGTCTAATTCCTTGGTAGAACATAGCGTGTCATATGTGGTGGGAATACTTTGGAGATACCTTTGGCATTTTTTTTTTTTTGCAAGAGAGAATCAGATTAGGAATAGACAATAATTGTAATGAGCAGGTCCCTCTGATTCCTCTTGTACCAAACTGTATTGCAACTATATTGTCTACCTTCATTTTGTAAAGAGCTGAGCAAACTGTTGGCGCTATATAAATCCTGTATAATAATAATAAGGTGTGGAACTTGAGTTGTTAGGAGAGGGGTGTCATCAATTTGAAGGATTGGCAGATGAATAATAAAGTGAGACTTTGAAGAACATTACAGAATGATACTGGAGATTTACTAAAACTGGAGCACAAAGAATCTGGCGCAGCTGTGTGTAGTCACTAATCACGTACTAGGTGTTATGTTGTCAAAGCTGAATTTAGAAGCTGATCAGTTACTATGAACAGCTGGACCTGATTCTCTGGGCATTAGTAAATCTCCACCAATGGATATTCTCTAGCAAGACAAAACATATCCAAAGCTATAGCAATGAATTCCCCAAATATCACAGCAAAAATGACTTGAACCCTTTCACTGCCAGGTCCGTATAACGTACAGACCTACAACACTGCTTCTAGCTGGCCAGGTCCATACGCCATATGGACCTATATTCCTGTTCTGCTATAAGCTAATAGGCACTTCAGGGACCATGAACTTATAGCAGAAATGTTCTGCCCTGTGTCTGCCGTCCCTCCACCTGCCTATGCAGACTTCTAAAATGCCCCCCACCCCCCCTAACACTGCATTACCCTGGCTGCCCTGCTTACTCCCCCCCTCCTCACTGTTGGCTTCCCTCCTCTGCCTCTCTCACCAACTTTCAGTGCTGCAGGGCAGTCACAGAGAGGTCAGTCAGTCAAAGTAGATACCCCCAGTGCTGCTTTGACCCCCCCTTCAGTGTCCCCCACCTCTCTGATGGTCGGGTTCCCCCTCCCTGAAGCTGCTACCCGGCTATCCCTCCTTCCCCTTCTGCCGGCTGCAGTCGCTGACAGATTGCTGTCAGCTTGGAGAGGGGAAGACCCCTTCCTTTCTTGAGAGTGGGGTGTTTACCAGTCCCCTTCTTTTCCTCAACGAATATAGACAGTGATCAGTAGATTGCTTCTGAATTTATCACTGACAGACAAGTGAAATACAAAATTTACTGTCAGCTTGTGAATGAAACTATGCAACTATGAAAAGAGAGACATAAGAGGTCTGTGTAGACTACTGATGTCTCTCCAAAGCCCCCCCCCCCTCCAAAACAATGTTTTTTTAAATATAAAATATTATATAACAAAATTAAATAAAACTGTAAAAAAAAACTTTTAAAGCTAGATTTACACTAGTGCAGCTCATGTTTGTGCAGACACGGTAGCCCTTTCATTTGAATGGACTGCGTTTCACACACACAAAAAAAAGTGCATGCACCTTTTCCAAAACGCGGTTACCACCCCTGTGATCGCGCTGTGGGCCCCGCACACCTCACAAAAGCAAGTTGTAAAAAAAAAAAATTAAAATGGCAAGGATAAATTTAGACATGCTTCTAAAGCATGACGGCATCGTCGCCCTGTTCACTGCCTATTGCAACTTAAGGGGGGCATTTGGAAGGCAGCAAAAACTCAGCATAACCACAAGGCCTAAGGACTCGTTCACGCGGGGCATACTACAACGAGACCATGTTTAGCTGCACAGGGAAGCACAGGTGTTCCGTGCGTCCCAATGCAGGCAGTCTTATTGATGTCAATTGGGACACAGCAGTTGCACGGGAATGTACAGCCACTGCTCCCAACTTGACATACATGTGGGTGTATGTCCCTGAACTCACACTGTCTGCGTCTGGGGCCATGGACCTATACCCACATGGATGTCAGATCTGTCCTTGCAGCTGCTGCATCCCAGTTCATGTAAATAGGATTGCCTGCACGGGAATGCAGAGAACACCTGTGTATTCCCGTGCGGGTAAACACAGCCCTCCATGGACATACGCTTTAGTACATCCCATTAGATAAGGCCTTTTAAGAAATTTAGCAGGAATTTTGTAATTTCTGTTGTGGTTTTGTGTGCAAATAAGGATTTTAGCAATTTGATAAACATTTGAGCAACTATTGTG